TAAAGACAATATCACGATTTCCAAATCACCCTTGAAGACGTATTATGAGGTGGTCAGTCCTTCAGCCTGGAGAAGAGGGTTAGGGACTGACCACCTTAAAACTACGTCTACAAGGGTGAAGGACAGATTACATCGTCTCTACATCTCTACTGCTTCTGCTGCCTCCTCTCTACTTGACTGAAGAAGCCTACTGTGTAGGCGAAACGTTTCGGAATAAAGTTACCTAACTGTTGCACATGTGTCTTATTTATCAACTTCTTAATATTGTATACCATTATCATATTTAAGTATCACAGTAAAATGAAAAACACACTGATCTTCCAGCTTATTCTTACATGCATATGTCCAAGAAACTAAACTCCGCTAGGTTACTGACTTACCTATCTCTGACTACGTTCATTTACAGTCTGTTTATCCCTACCCTGATATTTTCTACAATGTAAGGGCACTTCTGATGCTCACTGAGGTTCTCTATACCAGACTCTTTATCTGTACTCCAATTATTATAACGTGACCTGTGTTTATTTAAATAAGTTGTACAGAGTTTATTTTCTTGTTATATATAGTATATAGGTGTGTGCAAATAGGAAACGTGTCTGACTCGCACTCAGCAGACGGAGGATCGAGCCTCTACCACGTTTTGAACAGAATGACTCGCATGGATTTAGCGCTTATTCGCTAAACATGAATTAACTTAAAAAGTTATCTTTATCGCCTTGGATGTTGTACTCGCTACCCAAGGACACGATGGTGTGGATAACTCTAGGCTAATTTCATTCTAGTCCCTGTTTGGTGTACACTCGTTCGTGGTCACAATAATATAAAGTACTGCTCGTTGTACTAGTACACCAAACAGGGACTAGAATGAAATTAGCCTAGAGTTATCCACACCATCGTGTGTCCTTGGGTAGCGAGTAAAACATCCAGTTCCGCTGGACGCCCTACTCTTAAGGATCGTATGGTCCAGTGGATTAGGGCGTCATGTGTTTTCGCCCACCATAAGGCAGGCCAAAGCAGCATGGGTTCGAGTCCTTGGGTAGTGTAGTGTTCTTATTGATCAATACCACTCGTTCGTGGTTACAATAATTATATATATATATATATTATATATATAATATATATTATATATATATATATATATGTGTGTGTGTGTGTGTGTCGTGCCGAATAGGCAGAACTTGCCATCTTGGCTTAAATAGCAACGTTCATCTTGCCATATAGGACAAGTGAAAATTTGTGTATGCAATAATTTCTCCAAAATCATTCTGAACCTAACGAAAAAAATATATTTGATTGTTTGTTTAGTATTAAATTATTGTAAACAAATCTAAAATATATTTAGTTGGGTTAGGCTAAAATAAATTGTTATTGTTATAATAAGGTTAGGTAAGTTTTCTAAGATTCTTTTGAAGCAAAATTAAAAATTTTTACATTAACGTTAATGAAAAAAATATATCTTTAAACGTATAAGAGAAAATTTTCGATAGGACTTAATTTTAAATGAGTTCTTGCTAATTGACCAGTTTTACATATTCGGCACGACATATATATATATATATATATATTATATATATATATATTATATATATATATATATATATATATATATATATATATATAATATATATATATATATATATTATATATATATATATATTATATATATATATATATATATATATATATAAAATATATATATATATATATATATATTTATATATATATATATTATATATATATTATATATATATATATATATTATATATATATATATAATATATATATATATATATATATATATATATATATATATATATATAATATATATATATATATATATATATAAATATATATATATATATATATATTATATATATATAGATAGATAGATAATGTCGTGCTGAATACGTAAAACTGGTCAATTAGCAAGAACTCATTTAAAATTAAATCCTTTCTAAAAAATTCTCTTACACGTTTGTTATTGCTTACTGATCCACCTCGTTCAATAATGAAAATCTCATCTAAGGTTTTAATGTACTATGCTTTTCTATACCTTTGTGCTCTGAGATAAAGTAACTTCTTTCTGCAGGCACCCGTGGCCAGTCCCAGGTGGGACGGTGTTCGGGATGGCTCGTCTGAACCCCCACTTTGCTTACAACCGGACTTCGGAAACATGTTAACAAAACCGAAAGAACTGCACGGCTCTGAGGATTGTCTCTACCTCAATGTGTTTACGCCCTCGGTGAGTTCAGTCTATCTTCATGACCTTGGTGCAAGTATACCATGTACGCAACGTTCATGGTTCTCAGGGGAGGCGGAACCTAGTGTCTTTTTACGTTACTATAATTAACACCATGCGTACTTCACACACAACCACACACACACACACACACACACACACACACACACACACACACACACACACACACACACACACACACACACACACACCACATACACACACATACACACACACACACACACACACACACACACACACACACACACACACACAGAAATAACTGTTGCAGCATACGGGTTCCTGGCAAACCTAACAATAGCGTTTCGATACCTTTGTAAGGAATCGTTTAAGACACCCTATACCGTGTACGTCAGGGGACATGATAACAACATATAAAATACTGAGAGGAATCGAAAAGGTGGACAGGGACAAGATGTTTCAGAGATGGGACAAATCAACACGGGGTCACAATTGAAAGTTGAAGATTCAGATGAGTCACAGAAAGGTTAGGAAGTATTTTGTCAGGCACAGAATTGCCAGGAAGTGGAATAGTCTGGAAAGGGAGGCGGTGGAGGCAGGATCCATACATAACTTTAAGAAGAGGTATGATAAAGCTCGCAGAGCAGGGAGGGAGTGACCTAGTAGCGACCAGTGAAGAGGCGGGGCCAGGAGCTATTGTCGTAGGGGGTTCGGTGATGGATTTGGAGAAATAAACACACCTGTTGGTTAACTTGGTAGCGTGTATTAAATGAGATAAGCCGAGAGCCTTGCCTGTCTTTGTCTGCTCCTGGATTCATCTATGCTCCGACTGCTGACCTGCCCTGGGGCACAGCGGTTCAAAGGGACTCGTGACGTCACATAGCAGTAACTCACATAACGGTCAGTGATTCACCAACGGTTTTAATGAAATCACGTAGTCAGGGAGGCGGTGGCTGTAATGGTTACTGGTATGAGTAGACAGTACTACTGACACTCTGACTCGACCCCTACAACCACAATTAATTGAGTACACACACACACACACACACACGCACACACAGAGAGGTGTAGAGAGAGGCCAAAACTAAATGCGCTAGAGAATGGAGGAAGCATTGGAGGCAAAGGACCCAGGAGAATAAGGAGAGTAGTCGAAGAGCCAGAAATGAATATGCACACGTAAATAGGGAGGCCAACTACAACAGGAAAATGACATAGCAGCGAAAGCCAAGTCCGACCCATAGCTGTTGCAGAGTCAGGTCAGGAGGAAAGCAGTCAAGGACCAGGTAATCAGGCTGAAGAAAGGCAAAATAAATGACCGAGAAGTGTGAGGAGCTCAATATGAAATTAAAGAAGTATTCACAGTGGAGACAGAAAAGACTCCTGAAACATGGAGGGGTGAGGGTACACCACCAAGTGCTAGACACATACATACAACCGAGGAAGAGGTGAGAAGGCTGCTAAGCAAACTAGATACCTTGAGGGAGCAGAGGCACACTCTGTGTACCACTAATAATCTTCAACACATCCATCGAGAAAGGGCAGCTCCCTGAGGTATGGAAGACAGAAAATGTAATCCCAATTTTTAAAAAAGGAGATAGACATGCAGCATTAAACTACAGACCAGTATCACTGACATGAATAGTATGCAAAATCATGGAGAGATTATCAGGTGAAGAGTAGTGGAGCACCTAGAAAAGAATGAGCTTATCAACGGCAACCAGCGTGGAGTCAAGGACGAGAAATCCTGTGTCATAAACGTACTGGAGTTCTATGACAAGGTAACAGCAGTAAGACAAGAGAGAGAGAGAGAGAGAAGGGTGGGTAGACTGCATTTTCTTGGACTGTAAGAAGGCTTTTGACACAGTTCCACACAAAATATTAGTACAAAAACTGGAGAACCAGGCATGTATAACAGGAAAGGCACTGCAATGGATCAGAGAATACCTGACAGGAAGGTAGCAGCGAATTATGGTGAGCAACGAGGTGTCGGAGTGAGCACCTGTAACGAGTGGGGTTCCACAGGGGTCAGTCCTAGGGTCGGTGCTGTTTCTGGTATATGTGAATGACATGACAGAAGGAATAGACTCCAAAGTGTCTCTGTTTGCAGACGATGTCAAGTTAATGAGGAGAATTCAATCGCAGGAGGACCAGGCAGGAATACAGAGGGATCTGGACAGGCTACAGGCCTGGTCTAGCAAATGGCTCCTGCAGTTTAACCCCACCAAGTGTGGAGTTATGAAGATTGGGGAAAGTCAAAGAAGACCGGAGACAGAATGCAATCTAGGGGACCAAAGACTACAAACCTCACTCAAGGAAAAGGATCTTGGGGTGAGTATAACATGGAACACATCTGAGGCGCACATCAGCCAAATAACTGCTGCGGCATACGGGCGACTAGCAGACCTAAGAATAGCATTCTGACACCTCAGTAAGGAGTCGTTCAGGGCTCTGTACACCGTGTACATCACACCCATATTGGAGTATGCAACAGCAGCTTGGAACCCACACCTGGCCAAGCACATCAAGAAATTAGAGTAAGTGCAAAGATTTGCAATGCGACTAGTCTCGGAGTTAAAGGGCATGTCCTACGAGGAGAAGTTAAGGGAAGTCGACCTGACGACACAGGAGGACAGGAGGGACATGGGGAACATGATAACAACATATAAAATTCTGAGAGGAATCGCCAAGGTGGACAGGGACAAGATGTTTCAGAGATGGGACGCACTAACAAGGGGTCACAATTGAAGTTGAAGACTAAGATGAGTCACATGGATGTGTT